TTCATAAGGTTGCCGTAATCTTGTTCTTCCTATAAGTTTCACAGTAATCGTTAATTAACAAAATAATATGAACAATTAATCTATAAAAGTATAGTTTGTATCAGTGAATAACTTACTAATCATCTTCGAGTGTTACATTGAGAAATACACTATTGTTATCTCCTTGTTTATGGGTCTTAACATCTTCATACGTCACAACCTGACCAATAACATCTACAAATATAAAAGTTAGTTAGACAATTTTGTAAAATGTGGTAATAATGGAAGAGAAGAATTACCGATAAGTTCTGCCTCATCGACATCATTCTGATTTGTTAGCTGATCAAAACGACGAAAGTTAAAGATGTACATAGGAAATGAAGGATCAATTATTTCCTCAACTGTTGTCCTTTGTGTAAATGTCAGCCTCAAATTGTGTGTCGTATTCTTTAAATTCAAGTTGTTTGGTCCGACAACAAAGTAGTTCATGCAATATAAGCCGAGTTCCTGTATCTTGGTCCGAAAAAACTTAATTACATACTTCCCAATCGAGGCATGGATATGATCACCCTAAAAAAATAGTTTCATTATTAGGATGTATCATATTGCTAATAAATTGCATATATGTAGAAATAGAAACATAAATCGCACATAATCGTTTCATATGTGAGTCAAGTTTCGTTATGTATGTCCTAACCATCTTAATAACAAACTTGCGGATATTATTTTAAACTATTGCTGTGTTATTTTAGAAATGTCAAATGTCCCAGAATAGAAGATGTTGCACAAAAAATTAGGCAGAGGGCGCTATATTATTTGTCTATGATCAATATCCTTAATAATATCATTTTCCCCTGCAAAGTATAAACTGCTAGTTGGTATATATTGTAATAGAAGAGAAAATCTTCGTCCAAGATTTGGTGAAGTTAGCCAGTGAAATAGAAGATGCTGAAGAGGAAACAACAGAAGAGGAAAAAGCTCAAAAGTAAAACCAATACAACAGTAATAGAGTACTGTTGTGAATATAATGTTAACACAAATAGAGTACTGAGTTACATATAATTTTTCACAATTACTACTTTGTGTTGTGAAAAAATTATACATAAAACCAGAAAAGAAGAAAAACTTTAGAACTATAAGAAGTTGAATATGTTACCTTTGCATCTTGTAAAATCAACTCAATCGAATATGTTTTTTCAGGAATGAAACGATCTGCCATTTCCCGCATTCGAATGACTCTAACTTTGAGATTCCATTGCATCGAGTTTCTTGAAATTTGGCTGATTTCATAAAGTGTTGTAGCCATATTTGCAAACTTCTGTATTTTGAGCAGAGGAAAAAAGGGAGTAGAGAATAGAAAAGAAAATAGAAGAGGGAGCAGACATTTGAGATATTATTAGATAGTTTCTAAGTTATGGAGTAAGAAACGTGGGAGTCCAAAAATTTGAATAGATGATCGTAGATGAAGAATCATGAGAGTCCAAAAAACATGGGACTGAGATAGCTACACAAACGTGGACTCTTAGGGAAATAACTGAAACATATCAATGCTTTGTATTGGTACAAATTAACGTGGGATCTTAAGGGAATTAACTGAAACATATTTTTGTTTAAAAGCTGCAAATTATTAAATTTTTTTTTGTAATTCTTTTGAATATCCAAGCTTATTGGAGTGTTGTCTTAAACATTAACACGTGTCGATCTGCCGGATTGACACTTGGAGCAGTATTATTGTTTTGCCTCTCCTTTTCTATATTAAGAGATACTTCATAGTATTACAGTTAGGAGTCCGAAAATTAAATGCCAACCTTTTGGACTCAAAATACGTTTTTACTGTGTTAAAAAAAAGATACTCTTCAATATATAATGTAGTATAATACCGCGATATAGTTTAACGGTGTTTCTGCCGTTAAAGTGTAGCGCGGTATAATATCACGTTATATATAGCGCGGTATTATAATGCGCTATACCTGTTTGTGGGCCCACCAATTAGTCTCCTGCATTTAACTGACATAACTGTAATTCAAATATATGTAGCGCGATATAATACCGCGCTATACATGTTTGTGGGCCCACCAATAACTCTTTTACAGTTAACTGACTTAACAATAATTTAAATGTGTATAGCACGGTATAATATCGCGCTATACATCAAAAAATTCAGCCCCCAGGCTTGGCATTGCCTTATTTAAAGGCGTTAGAATTTTATGAAAATCCATTCAAAAAATATTCTAACTTTCGTTCAAACTTTTCTTCTTGTTATCAAGCATTTTTTTATAATATCTGAAGAGCTAAAAATAAGGGTTTCATTATATTTGGGGGGAGGGGGGTGAGGTTGTAATGGAGAATAACTCTGTGAGGTATAGTTCATCTCCATAGTGTCATGTTAAATTGCCGTTTACAATGGAGTACGATAAATTGGTATCGTTGTTACGTAAAAAAATGAGTGTGAGAAACGTTCGGTGAACCTTAAAGTAACCAGTAGATTTCCGTATTCTGTGACTCCGCGGGGGTTTGCTTATTATTCCGAGTTTAACATCGAAGATGATGAAACTCTTAGAAATTTTTTGCGAATTCCGAATGAATACATGAAATTTATTGTGATAAAATTGTTGGAAATGTACGTCAAGGCTGAAGACGTTGGCAATAATGAGATTGCGCAAAGCAGGGATAACCCCCATTCTTCGGGTGGTTAATCTGGAGCAATTTTAGCCTAACAGTTTCCGGCTGAAAGAGTTTGGCTGGATCTTAACTTATCTCCGCGGGCGAACGAGGAGCGAGGAAATAATTTCTCTCCTACTTTACATAATCTACAAGACGACCGGTAAACTTCAATTTTCTTTTTTGTTGAATTGAATTTGTATTAACACTCATATTTTCCATATGGGGTACCGTCCGGATATGAATTTTACAAGTTATGACCGCACGCCCAGTTGGAATATGCGTAGTTCTGGCGTGTTGGATCACGGTGGTCCATCCGAGAGTCATTACCAACAGAAAATATCCATCATGGAGTATCAACATAATACGACTTGTAAGTGAAGTGATATAGCTATATGTAAAGTATTTTTCAATTTGAGTAGCTTATCATTTTGTTCTTTTTGTGCAGTGAAAATGATCAACTTAATGCTCCTGACCTCACTCAGTTGCCCATAGACGACGCATTTACTCATGATTTGGCAGATGCGTAGAGTCAGGAAGATAATAATGATTATGACAACAATGCCGATGAGTTTGGAGATGACACACCCTTCCTTGACGAGGGTGATGATGGGGAGGAAGTGAATGTAAAACCTAAGTTGATGAGGGAGTATGCTCTTCCACCTCCCGTTAGACCAAGAGTGTACGAGTCCCACATGCTGTTTCATGAGCGGAATATTCCCTACCTTGATAATTTTCCAAGTATGCCGGATGTGGAGGCCCTCACAAGGGATGTTGATGAATTTTGGTTAGCAATGTGGGATGAGTCTAGACCAACGGTGCTGGCAAAGGGCATGTATTTTCCTGATAAAGCTCGCTTAACCAGGGTTGTAAAAATATACAACGTAAGAGAGTGTCGTGAGATGACGGTAAGGGAGTCAACTCTGGAGGTATGCAAGGGTGTATGTCGTAGACAGTTTATGGGTTGTAGCTGGATGTTGTGTGCGATCAAAAGGAAACAGGGTTGTGGAAAGTGGGTAAATATATTGGCACTCACAGATGTGAAATAGGCACATTCAATCAGAATCACTTCAACTTGGATGTAGACTTTATTTCTCTCGTCTTGATTCCACACTTGGAAGTGTCCGTTAGGTACAAGATCAAAGAGTGTATTACATCCGTCCACTAGGAATATGGGTGTACTATAACCAAAAGAAAAGTATATTTCGGGCACAAACGTGCATTTGAAATTATTTATGGTGACTGAGATAAGTCATTTTCATCTCTACCCAGGTACATGGCCGCACTGAAACACTTTAATCATGTGACTGTTGTTGAATGGAGGCATAAGCGGAGTCTGGGAATACCAAAATATATTTTCAACTACATGTTCTGGTCATTTAAACCAGCAATTAATGGTTTTGTACATTGTCGTTCAGTAATTTCCATAGACGGTACACATGTCTATGGAAAGTATGATATTAAGCTTTTGATCGCAGTTGCAGTAGATGCCAACAGACAAATATTTCTACTAGTTTTTGTCATCTGTGCCAATGAAAGCCAAGAGACGTGGACGCTATTTTTGAACCACTTGAAGCAGCACGTTGTCAAACAACGTTCAGGTATCTGTCTAATATCTGATCGTCATGGTGGTATATTAAGTTCTGTAGAGCGTTTGCCTGAATGGCAGGAACCTTATGCATACCACTGTTACTGTGCGAGGCACCTGAAGGCAAATTTCCAGAAAAAATATCCAGACAAGGCCCTGCATGATTTAATGCGGATGGACGCATCTGAGCACCAGCAGTGCAAATTCACGAGGCACATGAAAGCGATCTGGCAGTTAGACGAAAAAGCCTATAATTGACTGATGCGACATGAGCTTCACAAATGGACATTGCATGCTGATGGTGGCAGACGATGGAGAGCCCTTACTACAAATGTGTCGCAGTCATTCAATGGCTTATTGAAGTCTGAACGTGGATTGCCTATCACTGCTATGGTCCGGATGACATTCAAACAGACTGCGGAGAGGTTTGTTGAAAGGCATAGAGTTGCATCAGAATTGATGGACAGGGGTGTTCAATTTATGCCAATGCCGATAAGAAGATTTGATAAATATAGGAGGCAATAACATTGGCATTCATATTTACAGTATGATCACGACTGGGGTGTTTTTGAAGTTCGCACCACTATCCGCGGACACCGGGGGAATAATTTACAAACCGTGAATGAAGCCAGCCAGTGGCGTACGCAGAATTTTTATAAGCGGTGTCACTATTTAACAGAGTGAACAATTGAATAAATTATTGTAATATAATATATCATATTATAAAAAGACAACTTAAATTATATTAACGAAACACAATTCAAGCACGTTACTACAATTCTCCTCGATGAGTTTTCATGTTTTGAAATGTATCCATAATAGCCTCATTAGAAATATTACTAAATACTTCTTTTTCTATATAAGGCACCAAACAACCATTTAAAATCTCATCATCCATTTGATTACGCAAGTCAGTCTTAATCAACTTCATTGCTGAGAAAGCTCTTTCAACCGTAGCCGTAGCAACTACCAAAAGTAAAGCAAATTTCACTAGCCGAAACACACGAGGATAAGTCCCATGCTTCTTTGTTTCTACTAGTTTCTTAGAAAGATCACCAAGTCCCTTAAGATCGAAAAACCTTTTGTCATGATCTTTGACATCAGCAATGTAATTCTCAAGTTGAAAATGAAGGTCAACTATAGAATATTTATCAAAATCATCAGGATATAGCTTCGCTAATCTCAATATCTTTTCAATGTCAAAACTTGAAAAAGAATTAACTGGGTTCAAGAAAGCAACTCCAAGAAGCAATTCAGTTGTCACCTCATCAAAGCGGTTATTTAGTTCTTGAAATTTCCAATCAATAGTTTCACAGAATACTACAACATGGTAGTGATGAAAAAAATTATACTCTGAAACTCTACGACGTGATCTTCCAAGGATAACATAAGGTTCATCAAAGTTAGATATCATATGTCGTATTTGATACAAAACTTAGATACCTCATCAATAAGTGAAGCCCAACATTTCTCTCTTAGAAGCTACAATCGATATTTTGCTACTCTAACAAGTATCATAGCATTTGCAATATCTTCCTTCTTCTTTTGAAAGGCAACATTAAGCTCATTTGTGATTGCTAAAATAGTGCGCATAAAATGCAACATGAAGACAATCTCAAATGTTAAACATGCTTTAAGGTATCCCTTTGCCTTACACTTTTCTTCAAAACGTGCATTAATAGCAATTGCATCAAGTATATCAATGATAGGGCCAAACATAAGAACAAAATTGTTAAAGGATTTGATGTGAGAATCCCATCGAGTATCACCAGCTCTAGCAAGACCTAATTCTTGATTTAAGCCCCTACCAGTTTCAAGCTCACCTTTACGTAATGCTTCTTCAATTTCTTCCGCTTGAGATTCGCGAAGTTCATCTCTACGCTTGAAAGAAGATTCCACCATATTTAAGATATCGAAAACAACCAACAAAAGTTCTTGCACTTCATCACATCTTTTAGACACTGCAACAAGAGTTAGTTGAAGCTGATGAGAAAAACAATGAATAGAATGGGCACCTTTACTTTCTTTTTGCATCAAGATTTTAAGCCCATTTATATCACCTTGCATATTGCTTACTCCATCATAACATTATCCCCGTATGGAAGATGGACTTAAAGAATGTTGAGCAAATAAACCAATAATTCCATTCTTTAGAGACAAAACAGTAGTTTCACGAACATGAACAATACCGATAAATCACTCCATCACACTTCCCCTTCTATCAACATACCTCAAAACAATAGCTATTTGCTCCTTACATGACACATCACGAGATTCATCAACTAATATGAAAAAGTGATTATTATTTAAATCCTCAATGATACATTTAACTGTTTCCATCTTACATGCAGTAATAATATCCTTTTGAATGTATGGAGAAGTCAATTGATTATTCTTTGGAGCTTTTTTAAATGCATCGACAACATGATCACACCTTTTAGTATACCATCTAAGAAGTTCAACATAGTTACCTTTATTGAGAGATGATTCATCTTCACGATGTCCCCAAAATAATAATCCTTGGTGTAAAAGATATCTTATCACATCAACTACAGCCTCTAAACGAATCCGATATTCTAGCTTTTGTTGATCAGATTGTTTAGCAAGTACACTTTGAATGGATTATTTTTGTCTCAACAAATCATCACTTCTCTTTCTCGACTTATTATGAATACTATTTGGTCCACTAATATGCATATCAAATCTATCCTTCTTGTTCCAACTTGTAAATCCTACACTTGAAAATACATCTCCTTCCCCTTGTTTGATGCATTCATCTTGAAACAAATAACAATAGAAGCAAAAGGCTGCATCTTTTGTTACGCTATACTACAACCAATCATATTCAGAAAACCATTGAGGATTAAAGCGACACAATTTACCATAAAGATTTCTTTGAGGAAATTTGTGGTCTCGAGGTTGGAAAGCACCTCTTTGAAGATATGTTCTTTGTATTGCATCACGGTCATTTGGATGATATTTTAAAATTGCTAATCTTTCCCAGGATCAACTTCTAAAGTGTCTAAATTAACTCTTTCACTTTGTTGATGTTGTTCCGACTCATTAGTTCTTTCTTCCAAGTTAGATACATCTTGAGATGTTGAACTTGAATTTTGAATTTTGGAAGTTGCAGTATAGTATCTCTTCATTGTAATTTAATCTAAATCAAAAATTCAAGTATCCACATTATTCTTAGATAAATCCTAAATAAGTTTATTATAACTAGAAAATAGACTGAAATAAACTAGGAGCAAATCAATACTACACACTCATATACTCTAACTTCAACATTTACATTCATATGAATCAGTCAAACTATGTTAACATGACCAGCACGACAATAACTTATAGTTAACGGTTTTATTAACTCCCAAAATCATTAAATACACCCAAAAAAAATTAATTATAAGCAAGTGAATTGCAGTGTCTAGAAAATCACTAAACTATGTCTAGAAAATTGCAGTGTCACTAAACTAGTTGATTTGCCTTTCTTTTTCTAGTACTTGAAAAAAGTTGCCCCCCAAACTATGTTTTCGTTTTAGTTCTATAATTCATAATTCTTTGTTGAATTAACTACAACTAGTTTTACTTTTGACATGTAATTAATTTCTTTCTAAATTGATCACATCAAATCCAATATATAAATGACAACAACTTTTTGTTTGATTATATTTTTGTAACGATGAACAAGCTTTGAATATTTGTTCAAAGATTACTACTACAATTTTGTAATACTCTTATTTGTTTTTCTAGATAACTTAAACATTTATTTTTGTTATCTAATAACTTGATCTATTACAGAAAACAGCAATCACTATTCATCGAGCTAAGCAAGTGATGAATAGTAGATTGATCAGCACGATAATAACTTATAATTAACAATTTCATTAACTCCCAAGATCATTAAATACACCAAAAAAATTAATAATAAATTCAAATTATAAAATAGATTCACAGTTCTAGTCATAAAGAAATAAAAAAAGTAAAAATACAAGTACTTAATAAAAAATTATCATCTAAAGAGACAGAATTAGTACTAACCTGATGTAATTTAGCTTCTTTGGAGTTTGAAAATTTAAAAGTGGGCAGCAGTACTTTTTATGCTAATTGAGGGTAAAGAATCGTTTTTAAAGTGCGCAACAGTTCCTAATTCAGAAAGGTTTTTAATAAATTAGTGTCAAGTAGTTTTTATGCTAATTGAGGGAAAATAATTGTTTTTAAAGTGGGCAACAATTATGGGCTGTATTTCTGAAAGGTTTTTAACAAATTAGGGTCAAGTAGTTTTTAAATACAGCCTATAATTTTAGCAATAGGCCCCCGTAACTAGCAGCCACGTGTTCAAATTAAGTGAAACACGTAAAAAACTATTTTGTTGAGCCAAGGGAGTTCGATCCCTTGACGTCTCACAACAAATGGAAGTTATGAACCGTTGGACTAATCAGCTGTTTCAATGCAAGTGGCGTCACTTTTAACAATTTTATCTTACATATATATATATATATATATATATATATATAATAAAAAATTTCGATGAAGCGGTGTCCTGTGATATCGCTTGGGTCCATGTAAATCCGCCCCTGAAGCCAGTAGGTTGTGTTCATGTGGAAAATGGACCATCTACCAGATGCCGTGCGCACATGCCATGAAGTACTTTCAACAAGTTGGTTTAGGGGCAACCAACTATGTTGATAGGCAATACAATACTGCTGCATATGTAAACACATACAGTGGGCAGTTGCAGCCATTGGGTGCTGAGCATTATTGGCCACCAAAACCATTTAAAATGATGTGTAACAAGGACTATTTGCACAAGCTACAAGTGCAAAAGAGAACGTGTATACGGAACCAAATGGATGTTGGTGATACCGTTTATGCGCGTAAATGTGGCATATGCTCGCAAACAGGACACGACCGTCGTAAATGTCCTTATTACATCCCGCGATTTTAACAACATTGATACTGTTATATATGGTATATTTTGTATATATATTATATATATAATTTTATATAGTTATTAATATTATTACTTTCAATTATATACATACTATGAAAAAGTTTATGAGATTTTATTTATTGTAAAGATAGAAATTATTTTCTCACAAGAAAAGAAGGTTATCTTTTACCATTTTAAGAATTAAGTGTACGAAATTTTTTACTCTTTATATGAGATTGAGAAAATTAGAAGTTGAGAAAATATATATATTTTTACATTGATGTTTTAATGAAATAATAGTGTATGTATTGATTTTATATGGTACTACATGACCATGATAGTAAAGTATATTATAGTATGATATATAACGTGTATTAAAAGTTAGTAGTATTTTAAGTAATTTGAAATAATTTCTAATTACATAGATAATTACCGGGTAACGGAACATTACCTAATAACCTAATAAGTTGGATAAAAATTAAAATTTCTCCCACCCCTACGTGGCAACAAGCCACATTCCAAGCAAGTGACTCTTAGTCATTTTTGATTAGGCGGCAACCTAATATGATTCATTACAAGTCTATGTCTAATATCTTCATTTCCTAACAACACTGCTTTTTATCATCTTATGATATAATTCAACTAGCTGCTCTCTTTTGTTTGAAACTATCAAACCGACACATTTCCATGTGGCTCTAGTACAATGATCTAGTCATGAATTTTCTCTTAGTTTTGGATCTAGACTAACCGAGTGTCAATTATGGGTTGGAGGAAGTACTATAAAGTTGTATATTTGTTTCAGAAATGAACATTTGTCGGGGGCACTGGCTTTATGATGAACAATTGAGTATTGTAATGTATAAGTTCAAATAATATGAGGTAAAGATGAGATTTGAACTCATAAGATGAAATTTCCTTTGTGAGATAGCCTACTTGGGATCGTCATATCTTTTTGACCCCATGAGTGCTTTTCACTTACTATTTGGAAGAATAAATGATGATTTTGATTCATTTTACAATCTGTCACCAATTTTGTGGATTTATATTTAGTCTGTCTTAGTTTGGGTATTCTGAACTGGTATTCGGTGGTAAAATTATGTACTTGAAATCCTGATTAGAGGAATGGTCAAGAGAATTGACTCAGGTATGTTATGGCTGCCCCTTCTTTCTTTTTGGCATGATTTATACGACACAAGCGAAACGAGCAAATGCACATGTCACAACCCAAATTCCACTAAGGGTCGTGATGACGCTGGACACCGCTGTCAAGCAATCCAACCAAAATACTTACTTAAATTCTCGTTTTGATAATTTTAAAAACTATGATTTTCCTTCAATTTCACTAGTAAAAGATAATCATTTCAAATCGAATATGAATATTAAGAAATTAATACAAGATACCCCATATTCATCCCAGAACCCGGTGTCACAAGTGCATGAGCATTTACTAGGGAATGAAATAAAATACAGTAACTGTCCAA